CAATATTAATTTCTGTGGTTACGTAGTGCTAATTTAGAACCAATATGCTGTGATGAGATTCTCGAGGGGACCTATCAGATGGAGTTTAAAACTTTACCTTAGAGATTTTGCGTATAACATTATAATTGTCTCTTTTACAAAACAGCAACAAATTACACACCAACCAACAATAAATCTCTCATGAACCAATAGTAAATCACTTACAAATTAGCAGTAAATCAGCAATGACAATAAATCAACAGCAAAAGTAGCAGCATGTGCTGCAATATTTTTTTCAATGGACCTTGCATCAATCTTGGAAGATTAATACACTAATTGTCAACACACATCATTGACCTAGTTAGAGGTGAAACTAGTCAATTTTTATTAGAGAGTCAAAGGTGAAGAGAAATAAGAATTAAATATTTTTAAAATTGATATGTTAAACTTAACCAATAATCAAAAAATTCATAATAAAAAATAATTTTATATAACATATAAATTAAAAAGAATAAGAAAAGAAAAACTTACCATAGTCTTTTAAGAAAGCTCTGTTCAATCATGTTTATTAAATTCAAATTCATTAATTATTGATTCTATATTAAAAAAACTAATAATGTCTTTTTCAATATAAATAACTAAATTATTTGCAACAATTCATCATCTATTTTGTTTCAAAGTCTTACTTTCATAATTTTCAATATTGAAAAGATTCCTTCTATAGTTGCCGTAAAAATTAAAAGAGTCAAAATAAGATGAATTAATTTATCAATCAATTGAGAAAGTGTCTTAATATGTTCAAAACCTTAGTAATGAGGTATATCAAACTCATAATACCTCAATTGTAACCGTAAAAGAAGTCTTTCTTACTTCGTGAAACCTTGAGAATAAAAACTCTTTATTAACATGCGAATATCATCAATGTTAAATGATCTGTAAGTATTATTAAAATCCATAACAATGCTTAAAGTTAGAAGTTACACATTTTACTCATTGAATCTCAAGCTTCATAGAAGGGAAAAAAAAAACTTTTACCTCCTATTAATTTCACACAATAGTGGTAAGTGACTCCCGTTTTTCCTTGTCCAAACTGATAAGCTCATAAATCTCTTTTGAAGAATCAAATGTGCTTCAGTAATGAATTACAAAAGAAAAATAAAGTAAAAATAAAAAAATAAAAGAGAAAAGAATGAGAAAAAGAAAGCAATGTGCATAAATTTATTTTAAGAAGTCATTTTGTTATTTTTTATTTATATTAATTATTAAATAAAAAATTATTTTAAAAAGAGTTATTAAAAAACATATATAACATATAAAAAAATTTTATTTAAAAGGCCATAATCCCTCACAATTATACTACCATCCCTCACAAAAATTTCCCTATACACCATCTCCTATTTCTCTTAACTTCTCTCTCTCTCTCTCTCTCTCTCCTTTTTTTTTCTAAAATTCTTCATGAACAAGATGAGATTATAAGATAAAAAAAGAGTTACCTCACATTATTTAATCTAATATCACATGCACAATAACAACTAAGATTGCAATGCATATTGATTTCATCTGTTGGCATATTGTAGATTCTTTGCAGATTCTTCTACTGATGAATAAAGACTACCTCAAATTTAGCTTCAATGAGTATAATACTATAATGTTTGTCTCATCTTTAGCCTTAATTGCATGCAGCAAAGAAGACAACTTAAACAAACAAAAATGAGCACCAGTACCAGTTTTTTGGTTATAAAAAGTTGTCACATCAAAATTTTCTGGAGACTCATGTGACTAACTCAAAATTATCATCATCTTAACGAAAAATCAATATTAAATTAGGTGTGACTAAATGTGTAGATTGAGTAGTATGATCTGTCGTATCTAAATACTAAATATTTTTAAAAAAATTGATAAAAATTTATTAAACATAAAAAAAAACCAAACCAATCAAATATAGAATTAGTTTCATCAGTTTGGTTTTAAACCAATGGTCCAAAATTTTATCACTTTTTTACAAATTATAATATTAAAACTTATAAACTTTATCTATAATTATAAAATATATGAATTATGTATAAATTAAATATATGTATTTATATAATATATTACTTTATTATATATATGAAATTAATGACACAATTTATATATTATAATATTTTAATTTTATGTCAAAGTTTGTATAAATAATAACTAATTATAAATAACATGTTATAAAAATTAAGACGATAACTAATAAATTATTAAGTGCAATGATATAAATAAAGTCTATTATAAGTTACAGTAATACTTATGTATAAATTAAATATATGTGTATATATATATAATAGATTACTTTATTATGTATATATAAAATTAATGACATAACTTATATATTATAATTTTTTATATCAAAGTTTATATAAATAATAATTGATTATAAATAATTTGTTATAAAAACTAAGGTTATAGTTAATAAGGTTATTAAGTTTAATCATATAAATTAAATTTATTACAAGTTATACTAATGATTATATATAAATTAAATATGTATAATCTATATATACAATTATATATATATATATATTCATAACATTTTATATTACGAACCATTATCAAGATTTAATAATTACAATATATTATATGTAAGATATTTACTATCATATGTTATAATATTAACATATAAATTATATCATTTAAAATGTATAACTTGTAATTTCATATCAATACAGATTTATAAATAAATATATAATTAAATTAAATTATTATGATTATGATTTGTATACGTACATATAATAAACAAATATATTTTAAGTATATTATTCATTAAGTTTACTATTAATTCTTCTTAATATATATGAAAAATTATATATATTAGTTTGATTTTTTAGATGGTTTGACTTAAAAATTTTAAAATTAAAAACTGACCAAAAAACTAATTAGAATAAAGGGGCATTTTAAAAAATAACCTTTAAAGATAATGTTTTCAAAAATAGCTTCATATATAATTTTAACTATTTTTACCGAGTTGGACAAAAATACCTTTAATGAAATTACACGCTATGATGTTACACAATATATACAGAAACATATTATACGTTATGGTTAGGTTGTTACACGTTAAGTTAAAAAAAAATACTATTGTTACACATCATATACCAAAATATGTTACACGTCATGATTAAAAAAAGTTATTACATGCCATGTTCAAAAAAAAATACTGTTGTTGCATGCCATGTACAAAAATATGTTACACGTCATGGTTAAAAAAAGTTGTTACACATCATATTCAAAACATTTTGTTATACTTTAATACCTAAATTGTTATTGTTACTTATAAACTAAAACTTCAAATACTCTCAACTCTCTTTATTTTTTTTTATTTTTTTGATAATTTGGCACTAATTAAAGTATTTCTAACATATTTTTATAAATCAAAACATAAATTTTCTTATCTAAAATACCTATTTTGATTAAAAATAAAAAAAAATTCATTGAAAACCTAGATTTATAAATTTTAAAATTTTGAGTTTATTGGTGTTTAGATCCCGAATTGATTCAATTAAAAGCTATTTCAAACATCTGTGATCATTTTTACTGTTTAGTTTTATCCAAAATACCTAAAAATTAAAATTTTCAAATAGTCATCCACCCAAATACATCAAAACCATCGTTTGGTGTCTTCAAAGTGTTGGAAAGAGAAATCTGAAAGTGCGAGAGAGAAATCGGGAGCATAATAGACGAATGCCGAAAGAAAAATCGATAAAATTAGAGAGAGTGGGATGTTGAGAGAGAAAAATTGAAAGCACAAATGAGAAGAAATTGTGATAAATGATTTAATTTATTTAAAATAGTTTTGAAGGTATTTTTGTCAAGTCATGGTTAAATATAATTAAAAACAGTTAAATTTATTTTGATGGTTATTTTTAAAATATCCTTATCAAAAAAGATTATTCCTCACAATTCTTCTAGAATAAATATTTTGGACCAATTAATCTAATAAATCAATTAAATCAAATTATTTTTCTTACATCACATTTAATTTAAATGAATAATTGATTTAATTTGGTTTTACTCACCCTTATATTAAATTATGTAACAGTCATGAATGCAAGATAACCAGCCCGACAAGGCTGGAACACCAGTTTTTCTTGGTTGTGAATATAGCTACCAAACTGTTAGGAGATCAAAAGCAAACTGTAGACAGAACTTCGACTTGAGAGACACCCAAAAGCTAGGCTAGCAAAGATGGACCAGGAGCTACAGCCACAGACTTGTCCGCATGTACTCATCTTCCCTGTCCCAGCACAAGGTCATGTCAACTCCATGCTTAAGCTAGCTGAACTATTTGC